GGCGCGCGTGGGCACGGTCTCGTGGTCTGCGGAAACCCGCCGGCCGTGGGTCCGCCCTCGCGGCCCGGCCCGCGGAGGGCGCGTGGTGTGAGAGCTGTGGACGTGACCGGCCGGGACAGCGGCCCCTGTGCCTGCCCGGGACCTGCGGCGGAAGGTCGTCCGCGTGACCGAAGCTGGCGGCTCGGCACGGTCCTCTCCCCACTGCGCGCACAGCGTTTGTGCCTGCTGCTGACGGTCTTGGTTCCTGAGGACTCCAAACCAGTTAAAGGATGGCCTCCAGGCCCCGACTTGAAGGGACTTCCTTCCTGCTCAACGAGCTGAGGGAATCGAGAGACCATTTCTGCTCCCGCGAAGGTTAGGCAGAACGCTTCAAACTTTAGAATGATGACCAAGGTAACCCTCACTGAACCAAAGTTTAGGCTACCCTTTACGCTGTGGCTGTCGCAGTGGCCTTCTCAGGGTTATCCGCAAGGCAGCAACCAGGCAGCTACATCGGAAGTCACATGTTACCTTCTATTACATACATGTAATTCTACGTAGAGCTGGGGCAGGGCCGCTGACCTAAGGAGAGGAGAAAGTTTCAAGAAAAATCTGAGCAGCTCGCGGTGTGCGTCCTGGAATCCCTGCCTACAGTGTGACATAGATGACAGATGGAGAAATAGAGCTGGGAAGGGAACTATCCCAAGTGTTTTCGACCTAATTGATGCAGAAGATAAACAGGTTTACCATTTGGATTTATTTTTACTTATATTTGTTTTATTTTTAAATTTCTAACATACATAAAAATAGCACATACTTGCGTACCATGTGATGTTTTGGTACAGGTATATATTACATAATGTTCAAATCAGGGTAAACTATCTCCTTGAACATTTATCATTTCTTTATGGTGAAAACATTCAGAATATTTCCTTCTAGCTCTAAAAATATATGTATGTATACATATAAATATAGACCATTTAGATTTATTATCAAAACATTTCTATTGACAATGAAGAGTATAAACACTTCTATAAAAGTCATTTCAGGTGGCTCCACGTAGCAGCCCTCAGGCAAATTGAGTGCTCTGGCTGTACCCACCAAGTAGTAACTTTTTCTCCTACACAGAAAACCCTTTATAATGTCTCTGTTTTGGTTTGGTTTGGTTTGAAAAATAGAAATTCAGATTTTTAAATTAAAAACTAGATATTTCAGAGAATTTTAATTCTGCTATTTTTAATTTCTTGTTGGTACCGGGAATCAAACTCAGGGCCTTGCACCTGCCAGGCAGGCACTGTGCTGCCAACCTATATCCCTAGCCCTATTTTTAATTTTTTTAAAAAGCCACAAAAGCAAAAATAACTTGTTTCAATCCCCAAAAGAATTATTGGCTTTCCTTTCTATGCAATGCAAAAAATCTGTACATTTATGCACATATTGCTCCCCTACGTCAGTTAAGGAAGTCACCAGAGCCAAAGCCGAAGATTGTGTCCAGATATGGTAGGTAGCCCTCTGGTATATGTTAACCTGCTCTTTTACCTGCTTTCCTCCCCCACTCCTAATATTCCCTTAAGTCTTCCAGATAGTCCAATGAAATCAACTTTTTACATGGAAAATGCCTTCCATCTCATGAATATCAATTCTCATTGTATCCACTTATCTTGTTAGGGTTCAGGACCACAAACTGCCCCTACTTAAGTCCTCTCTTGGTTTCAGGGCAGGGACACTGGGAAGAAGGGTGTGCCTGGGTTGATGGAAACCATTCACAGTTTCTCCACAAAGCACTGACTGAAGGTCCTACATAGTGATTTAGTCGCTGAGCAATTAATCTTTTTGAAAGAGTCAGGGTGAGGAGAAAGAGGAGGAGAGGAGTTCTGGTAAAGTAATGATTCCAGCATTTATTCAGTGAATAAACTGGGAAACTGAGATGAAAATTATTTTGACCTTCAGAAATCCGTGAGGGAGAAAAAAAGACGGGGGAAGGGAAGGGATCAAGGAAGACTAAGAAGATAGCCCCTGAAATAATTAGGAATAATTAAAATGGGACAGGAAGAAGACTGAGTTGTTCATCTGAACAGAAGGAGCAGCACTGCAAAGGCTAGGACAGTAGGTTAGGAATTACTAGAGTATACTTTGGCTAAGGAAATGGAACTTCATCCTGAAAGTTGCCAAGTGTCCTTGGAAGGTTTAGTAAAGCAAGAGGGCAATATGATGAGATTCACACTTTTAAATAAAATTTGATTTTTATCATGTGTAAGGTGGTGCTGTACTGGGGACAGGAGAAGGGCTTCTGACATACTGGTCATATTTATTATGGTAGGCACTGGTTAATGGGTGTGATTTATTAAGGAAACTCATCAAGTTACATGCTTATATATGTACTTTTCTGTGTGTATATTATACATCCTTCAGTAAAAAATTTCTAAGAAAAAAATCATTCTGTCATTAGTAAAAGGTGAAGTGAGTAAAACCAGAATTAAGAGTGGGCACATATAGTTCACTTGGAAAACAACTACTATATTCAGATGTGAAATGAAAAGAAGTTGAAGCTATGAGGATGAGGAAGTAAATTAAAGAAGAATAAATCTAGAGGGATGTAGGAGCCTTACTGGGCACCCACATACGCTCATCCAGGGTCCTTTGCATGGTCCTCCTGAGTGCTTTCAAACATATACATATTTCAAAATATCATGGGTCAGGGATTGTAATTCTTTTATTCACGACTCCATCCATAGCACTGAACAAGGCGTCTGATAGTAGTATGCATCATCTTGATATGGCAAGCAAGTTCAACGAGACAAGCACTCACAAGAAAACTGAAAAGGCAGGAACAAACAAAGCTTTATTGAGCCGGCTGACAGACTGTCTCTAACCAGGAGCCAGAGAAGATGTCCACGCTGATCTGGGTCTCACCTTGGGTTTAAGTACATTTTTTGGTTTGCATCGTAACCATTACCTCATTTTTTGGAATCTCACAAGAATACCACACAATTATCACAAAGTCTACTTCTCCCAGAAACTCAGCCAGCCAGATTTCAGATGACCATTACAGTTTAACTTTTAGCCTACTTCCCAGTCTGTCCTGTTTGTTCTGTTCCCATTTTATGGCTCTGCTCTCCTTTAAGTGGGTTGATAGCTAACCAAGGGGAGGGGGTGGAAAGTAAGGTCAACTACAGCTTAAGTGAACTTAAGTGACTTCTCTTAATATGGAGTTAAAAAAAAGAAAATGGAGTCTCTCTTGCCCTATGAATCTCAATGAATACTCACTGAATAAATGAATGCTCTTGATGTATTGCTGAGTCAGAATCTGCTCCCCAGTAGAAGATGGGTAGGTGTACAGAGATCTTGGCTAGATAAATGCCTCACTCTGAATTTAAGATTTCCTGTAACTATCAAGCACAGTGGGGCACATCTGTAATCCTAGCACCTGTGAGGTAGAGATAAGAAGATTATAAATTCAAGGCCAATCTAGTCCACATAGGAAGTTTGAGACCAGCTGTACTGCATAGTGAGACTCGGTCTCAAAAAAGAAAAAAATCACAATAGAACTCTTGTGGCAAGCATCAGACTCTTCATCAAAGTTGGTGGTTGTTTTGGGCCTACCCTGGACCAGGAGCTCATTCTTCAAGCAATCACTATAGTCTAGGATGTGGCTGCTTTTTCAATGTTCCTCTGGAGGCAGGGGTAAAATCAGCCCATATAATCCTCAAGGAACAAAAAAGGAAAGCAGATAATCCTGCAAAGAAAAAAGTGAGGTGTTGCTACTTAAAGAAGAGGGAAGGGATATGGGCCAGGCAATAATATATCTATTATCCATACATAAGGAATTGCTGCTTGCTTGCTTGCTTCTTTCTTTCTTTCTTTCTTTCTTTCTTTTGGTACAGGGAATCAAACTCACAACCTCATGCTTGCCAGGCAAGTGCTGTGCCACTGAGCTATCCCCAGTGGCTGGACTAAATGAATTCTGAATCACTTTAGAAATATAAACATCCCATGATTCATTCTAATTTAATATCAATAAGTGATTGATTTGTGCATTTAAAATCTCCTCAGTTCCCAAAAAACATTGTACAGAAGGACTTTATGCTGTTTGTTGTAAGCATAAAGCAAGGGCAGGTATAAGGAAGGGATTTTGCATTCTGAGGATTGCTCCAGTAGTGCAAAATCTCCATAACTCAAGGCTCAATTTGTCAAGGAGAATAAACAATCAATTCACAGTGTGCCAGGGTAACCCACTCAGTTTCAAACCTTTACATAGGACAGAAATTTGTGGGAACAAGAACCCAGCCAATTCTGGTACCTACAGTTCAACCTTATTCTTTGTTTTTCCCCAGGGAAATAGTTCATTTGCTAGCATACTGGGTTCATTTTAATCTTACCCTAGGCTACTCATCAGAGAGTGAACTGGTATATTCTGATTACCTCAATTTCCAGCCAGAACAAATCTCTGTCAGCCTGAGCACTGTGAGAGCCAGGCTACCTCCAAGGGGGCCATTTTTAGTTGGATCTGAGGTTTCTGTGACTGAACACTGACCTGCTAAGTATATTTTCAATTCCCACACCCCCCACTGGGGAGAGATAAAGGTGGTTCAAAGTCCTTCTTATTATATACTTCGTGAGAAATGTTGAGAAGCCAGTGAACAAGTGTGGTTTGAAAAGCAAATAGGTAAGGGTTGCTTCCTTTGTCAGGCACAGTTTTTTAACTATATAGTTGAGCAAATGAGTATGGTAAGAATAGTTAAAAATTATTAAGAAATGTGTAAGATAATAGCAACCCACAATTTATTGTCCAAGGCCTTGCTAAATCCTTAAAGAAAAAAAAAAAAACCCTAACACAAATTCATAAGATCCTTTTTTGGTACTCAAATGAAATAATTTACTGGCCCTAAAAGAAATCATCATAGTCAATGTGAGAACTATTATATTTACTTTAGGGTGTTACACTTCGTGTGCTCATATTCTTCCTGTACATTTACTTGATGACACAGGCAGTTGATAAAGTTTAGATGTGAAAGTGTACATAGTAAAATTTTGGTTAAAGTTAGAGATATTTGCATGATATTTTAAATATTTCAAGGGTTTAACTCCTATTTTATCTTTTTTACTGTTTTTGTTTTGTTTTTTTGAGACAGGGTCTCACAGTGCAGTTCAGGCTGGTCTCGAACTTGTAATGATCCTCCTGTCTCAGCCTCCCAAGTGCTGGGATTACAGGCATGTACCACCACATCCGGCTTAACTTCTTTAAAAAAAAATAAATAAATAAACTAACTTTTCCTAAAATGGGCTGTTCACAGTCACATTTAAAAGTTACAGGATGCAAGACTTAACCAAAAGAAAATTATTCTGACATTGAGATAAACATGTAAATATCACAGTAAGGGCCTGGCACATGCCTAATGAGTATTTATAAAATAAATTAAAAGATAAATGACAGAATATTCTTATTACTTTTATATTTCATAGGGCATTGGTGAAGCAGTTTAATTTCTGCACTCATGAAGATCATGGTAGGGACTTTGAACTATAAAATGATGACTAAGATTAATATATCATCCAGATGTAGGGTAAGAATGATAAGTATCACCTTGGCCTTTCTATATCTAATTCAGGTTTACCAGCATTATCTCATTGCTCCATCCAAGTCTACTTGAGTCTTTAGTCAAATGAGCGAGCAAAAGCTCCGTACAGACTCAAACGAACCTGGACTGTGCTTGCTGTTATGCCCCATGTCAGAGCTTGGCTAAGCCTGACTCAGAGCCACCAGGCAGAGGGGCAGGCATCTCTGCACCTACAAGATCAGCTTCTGATTTTCTTCTCCCTCCCTCTGTCTGACCCCATTTCTCACATAGATCCAGGCACACTTCAAGAAAAAAATGGGGAAGTAATTTGGCCTTAGTCAATACATCCCTCCCAAGCAGCCAGTCAGAATAGAACAGTGAATCTGACTGGGTTTCATCACACCCCTTCCTGTGATCCTTCCTTTAGAAAGGGACTGGGGGACTTATAAGTATTAAGAAATTCTTGTTGGATCAAAGTGAACAAAGTTAGGGGCGTATAAATGATTCTTGATAAGTATGAAGGTGGAAGGGTAAATGCATGTTTCTTGTAAGACAAGGATTTTTTAAAAACCAATGTAATGGGACAACCAAATTCTGTCATTCCAGGTCCAGTTTTCCTTGGCCAAATAAACCACAGCCCAGAGGTACTGAACAATTTATAAGGGTGAAATCACATGAATAATGCTGGATATGACAGTATTTTCAACCACTCCCAAAAGAACCTTTGGTTTGTGTGTAATCTTTGTTGCTTAGTGGAATTCAACATACTGCTGGTCTACTTCTGGCAGCACCACTGAGAATTACTTAAAAAGAAAGCTGCTTTCTGGAGTGAGCTCACTGTTCAGACTGAATTGCTTAGGTCATCTGAGGTGGCAGGGAAATAGCAGTAACTCTTCCATGAAAAATGTAGATGCAGTCTGACCACCCGTTTAGAAAACCCACCATTGCTCACTTCCACTACTAAACAACATTCTCCTTTGTGGAGAAAGCTCTCCCGCCTCCCATTTCCCAATGCATAGTTTGGGAAGTACCAATGATCCTAGAAGCTAAGAGTTTGTCATGATGATCTTAGAACTTTCTGTGTTCCTTTAAAAGATACAATTCTTTAGATTCTCTTTACTTTTACATATTACAGCATGACTTCTTTGTTGTTATCAGGCTTGCAGAGCTATTTCTGAAGTGTTTCCTAGCCAAACAGCATTGAGACTTGTGCTATATTAAAATTTGTGGAGCTATGCTAGGTTTAGCTCTTGTTTGGTTTCACAACCTGTAAAAGCTATAAATTTCGCCAGTTAAATGATAGGCACATGGATTGTAACTACGCAAACAGATGAAGATCTCTGCCCTGTAGGACTTGCCAGCTATCATACTTACCACATGCAATTAAATTATAGCTGCAGAACAATTGCAGGCCTGAGTTCAAAGGTTGACATCAAGTCGAAAGCTAGCTGTGAGCATGTTTACCCTGCAGTAACCGGGCCCACCTGTCTTTTGAGGTGACATTTTCTTGATTGCCTTGCCACTTTATCCTTTGTTACTCTGTAATGACCAAGTGTTATTGTTAGAGCAAGTATCTTTTAGGCATCTGTCTGCAACCTTCTCATTTTCCTTTACCATTTGTAAGGTAAGGTTTTTCAGATAGTCAAGTAAAAATGTGATGTCAAAGGGAAGCAAGTTTCACTTGTGGGAGGGAGGTAGACATGAGTTGTCCACCCAGTAGTTGCCACCTTCTCCGCGTTACTTATGGAGGTGGAGAGTGCAATTGTAAACCAGAAGGAAGCTCTTTAGCCCACACACGTGCTCCAAGCAAGGACTATGATTAAGCCAGATAAAACTAAAGGCAGCTGTATTACTAAGGCGTCTCTCAGTTGCAAAACATACCACTAATATGGAAAACCACAGTTAACAAACCCTGTTCATGTAAACAGAAGTTTAATCAGCATTTTAGTCTCTTGCTTTAACATTTTATTTTATTCTAGTAAGAACCCTTAACATGAGATTTCCCCTTGAAACAGATTTTTAAGTGTATAATACAATATTACCATTTATAGGCACAAGGCTCAACAGCTATTCAGAACATGTACATCCTACATCACCAAAATTTTGGACCTGTTAATTAGTAATTCTTCTTTCCTAGTGCTCTCTCAGAGCCCATGGCAACTGCCATCCCTCTGTCTGGTTCTATGTGTTTAGTCAGCTATTTTGAATTTTTAATATATATGGAATCAGGTAGCTTTTGTCTTCCTGTGACTGGGCTTATTTCACTTAGTACTATGTCCTCCAACGTCATCCCCGTTACCCCCAATATACTGTTTCTCTCTGTCCCTCCCTCCCTCCCTCCCTCCCTCCATCTCTCTCTATGTGTGAGTGTGTGTGTGTGTGAGTGTGTGTGTGTGTGTGTGTGTCTAGACAGGAGTATAAATCTGGCTGGAACATTGTGGGAACTAAGGAGGTTGGAATTCTTAAAATGGACAACGTTGACTCTGAATTTGATTACCCTATTTTCATTCAAAGTCCTTCTGATTTATTCCTTCCAGAATATAAACATATGAGGAAAATCTAAAGGGTTTCCTTTTTGTTGTATGGGTATGAAAAGGTGGAAATATCCTTTAAAATTTGATGGCTTACACTGTGTAAATCAGATTGAAGATTCCTCCGAAAACTAGGTTTAGAGGTCCCATTCAACCCAGCTATCCCCCTGCTGGGTATTTTCCCAGAAGATCTAAAAACATCATATCACAGTGATATATGTGCACCTATGTTCATAGCAGCACAATTTGTAATTGCTAAAATGAAGAAGCAACCCAAATGTCCATCCACCGAGGATTGGATAAGAAAATTATGGTACTTTTATAGAATGGAATATTACTCAGCTATAAAGAAAGATAAACTCGAGGCCTTTATATTTAAATGGTCACAACTAGAGACCATACTCATAAGTGAAATAAATCAAACATACATGTGCAAGCACCGCATTGTTTCGCTAGTGTAAATCTTGAAAGAGTTAATTCAAACTCGGAGGTATGATAGACACTGTGAAATGGTAGGAAACTGCTGAAGAGTAAAGGGCAACTGGGATGTGGGAAAAGAGGAGGGAAAGAAGGAGAAATTTTGTATGTATGTATATACATGACAGTTAACATGGTTGTTCTTCTGTCTTCTATTTCTATGCTGAAAGAAACTGTCAATGAGTCTTGGGTTGACCAGTATTGCATGTCTATATCTGTTTTCATGAGAAGCCACTTTGAAGATATCAATATGTAAAACAACAACCATTGTTAATTCCCTACCACTTTGTTTGTAACTCTGTATTGTCTGTACTGTGCTTGTGATATGTTGTAAAATGTTGTATGTCTGTTAATGTTTCCCTCCTTTTATCTTTAAAATAAAAAAAAAATTTGATGGTTTAGACGAGCATATATTACATAGGCAAAAGATCATAATGGATGGCTGAGTGAAAAGTGTTGGCTACAAAATATGTGTAATATGTATTTTTATTAAAGAAAACTAAAACCTCATATAATTTCTATCTCTATAAATATTTCAGTTGTGAGATAAAGGATGTGATAATAAGATAAATCAGCCTTAAATATAGGACTAAAAAATTGTTTTAGAAAAAATTGTTTCACTCTATGGAACTGTAAAGAAATAGTTCTCCCACTTTTTTCCTCCACTTTTAACCTTCAGTCTGTGTGGCTCATAGATGCTTTCGCCGTGACTACTTGGCCGTATTAAGCAACGAGGTGTACACCCTCACATCACCAATCTCCCCAGTACCTGCGGCAGATAGCTCTAGCAGAAACTGAGGAAACTCTTAGCCTCTACCGTCAGGAGGTATACACAGTGAAGAATGGAAGTGAACAAGCTGCGAAGACCTTTGGGAAAAAAGCATTTTTGTTTTATTTTTGGTCTTAGAATGCTTGTAGTATATTTCATCACTGTGCACGAAACAGCTGTTGGTTTAAGATTGCTATTTTTTATCATTTTAAAGAAGTGCCCTCGTAATTCTAGTTTTAGAAGTTTTTATCTAAAAAAGTAAATGTCTTTTAGAAGTTTTAAAAGTTGATTGAATTAAACAGCAAAACAAAACATTGCGTCATACTATAATTTTTAAACCATCCCTTACATTGAGCATTTAGGTGGGCTTTTGAATTCACTATTATAATTAATGCTGGACAAAAAACTCTGTACATATATCCATTTGAGAAAATGTGCAACAGGGCAATGCAGAATAGTCATGAACAAAAGGAGCCAGAAACCTAGAGTAGAATAAAGAAGAAACACTAGCAAGGATGTAGTGCCATGAGCTCAGTCCTTGTTAGTCTTAGAGGCTGGTCAGAAAGGGATGATTCAGAGCAGCCAGCCCAGGCAGCGGGGTTCAAAGTAAACAGGGAAGAGGGTGGGGACTTGTTTATTGGCAAGGGTAAAGTGGAAGTGAGAAAGAAAATCCCTGAGCATATTTACAAAGTCACACCGGGAACCCAAGTAGGAACAGGACATCGTTTCAAATGGATGAATGAAAGTCAATACTCCCCTGCATTGCACTTTTTTATGTGGCATCTTACTACACATGTAAAAAGGCCAGTGGTGAGAATTTTTAGAAGTTAAAGATTTTAGATTTGTAAGGATATTAAATACTCAATATTAAATACTTAATACCCTAACTCAAGGTAGTTTTGATGTCATATTTTGTGATTAACTGAAGAGGTAATCCCACAATTTTAGCCATTGGCAAGCAACACTGCTTTGAAGTAGCCAATGACAAAACAGTTCCATAAACATGGTGGTAGGTGGAGCTGTCCTATGTAGAGGTTCATGTAGTGTTCATTAACCAAATGGAAATTTTTATATTAAGCTTGGAAAAGTTTAAATCTTGACTCAAGAGATTATTGACTGTTTCACATTGTAAATATTTTTAAGTAGAGGCAGGCCATACCTAGTCAACAAATCTTTATTGACTATACTTGACTTATTACATCAAAACCAGTAATGAACTTGAGAATGGAGAAGTCTAAGATTAATTTATCCAATAAAGGGAAGTGCTCAGAATACTAGAAGAAATATTTTTCTTTTCATGTGTGTGTATGTGTGTGTGTGTGTGTGTGTGTGTGTGTGTGTGTGTGTGTGCTTCTGCCTTCCACTGAGTTACACCTCAGGCCTTTTCTTTTGATTTTTAAACAGGATCTGAAGTTGCTAGGCTGGGCTCAAATTTGCAATCCTCCTGCCTCAGCCTCCTGAAGCTATGATTGCAGGTTTGCACTACCATGTCCAGCTAAACAAAAGACCTTTTTAAGTTTGTATGTGGGGGGAAGGGTATGAGTGAATCACAAGGGATATATTAAATGAAAAATTGAGAAAACTCAAATATACAGAAAATATAGTAAATGAATATTTAGTACAAATATATAAAGAATTTGTACGTAATTAATAGATGGGAAATTACATGTTATATTGAAAGGGATAATATATACATTGTGCAGTGTGATTTTAGTTTTGGTTTTTCTCCGGTACCGGGAAC